CGGAAGTCTTCACATCATACAAGATTAGATGTTGATAGAATGTTGACCCCCGAAGGCAATAATACAATCCGCAACATTGTTCGCGGACTGCCTCAAATGCCTTGGGAGACCAATGCTACAGAACACGCTGCTGTTTTGACTGAAGCGATCCAAAATAGACTCGCAGAAGAATTCCCCATGCCTCGACGTATCAAAACGTGGGCGTGTCCCAGTGAGGCTACGAGGGAATGTCTTGAAAAACTCACTAGTGTTAGAAGGGAGCTCCGAGGGTATAAGAACATCTATAAGCACTGCTTTTTGCGATTCTTTTTCGATGCTTGGATGAAAGCCTCTTGGACTGATCATCAAGTGACGTGGGTTGGTAGGGTTGCATTGGAAAAAGCTCGGTTAGGTAAAGAGCTCAGGCAAGCAGCAAAACAATTTGCCTCCCAACTCAAGCAAGACAAAAAGGAGTATCTTACTCGAGTGGCCACAGATGCTGCTAGACTGTCTGTCAGTGAAATTTATCGAGCTCTGCGACCTTTGATGCCGAGTCGTAAGACCAATGGAGCTGTCAAACCCATGCCGCAAATTCGTAAGCTTGATAATACACTCACAGTCTCCTTAAAAGAGCTTGATGATCGGTGGACGGAGCACTTCTCTCTCATCGAAGCTGGGCAGATCCAGGACACCGCATCCTTGATTCGGGAATGTGTTAGGCGTCAGGGAACACAGCAATGGCCTGAGCTTGAGTGCTTCTGGACACTACCGACACTTCAGAACCTTGAGGCCGCGTTCCAGAAACTACGCCCTAGGCGAGCGCCGGGACCAGATCGCATACCGGCAGAGCTTCTAAAGGCTGCCCCTGCAGAGATGGCGCGCCTATGCTACCCGTTGCTCCTTAAGCTCGCAATACGTAGTGAGGAGCCCGTCCAATGGAAAGGGGGGCGTACCATAGCTCTGTACAAAGGTAAAGGCGCACATGATATCTGTGCTACCTTTCGATCCATTCTGCTCATGTCCACTATAGGCAAAGCACTACGAGCAGCAATGCGGCCGCTGATTAATGCACCGTACGTCCATACCAGCCCGCAAGGGCAATTAGGAGGGAAGCCACGGCAAAGTGTACTGTTTGGAGCCCAAATTGTCAGGCACTTTATCGCTTGGCATAAACAGAAGTCCCAGTCGTGTGTTGTCCTGTTTTGTGATGTCATGTCGGCCTTTTACACGGTGTTGAGAGAATTAGCGGTCGGGGTCGATGACAGCAGATGGGAACGAAATCTCCATCGAATCACTGAACATTTTGGCCTCGGACCGGAAACTCACCATAATTTAACTCAAGCACTTCGGGGTCATTCGGAGTTCCAACAACTAGGAGCGAATAGCCTCCAGAATGGCCTGCTTCGGGAAAGCTTGACTGACACATGGTTTTCCTTTGATGGTAAACGAACTGTCCGCACGGCTAAAGGTAGCAGACCCGGAGACTCATGGGCCGATTGCACCTTCAATATCCTTTTCCAAGCAGTCTTGCAGAAACTCCTGCAGAAGCTCAAGCGCTTAGGGCTCATTGCTGTCTTGTCCGATGGCGAGCAAGTGTCCGAAGACTGGCCAATGACTGGCGCCCAAGCGGATGAACCATTCCAAGTTACGTGGGCAGATGACCTAGCGGTCCTTTTGAGCTTCGACACACCGCAAGAAATTCTTACCAAGCTACCTTTTGCAGCCTCTGCCCTTTTCGATACGCTTGCCGAATATGGCATGAAAGCGGCCATTGGACCGTCGAAGACGGCAGCCATTGTGCTGGCGAGGGGGAAGGATGCTGTTAAGGTCAGAAGACACCTCTTCAAAGATAAAGATGCAGGATGCTTTGTCATCCTTGAGGATGAAACCGTGAAGCTCCCTTTTGTTGATCGGTACAAACACCTAGGAGGATTGGTGTCTGCAACAGCCAATCTGCAACTCGAGATAAGAGCCCGATGTGCCAAGAGCAGATCCGCCTTTTGGAGGATCGGACACAAGGTACTTCGGAACCGAAGGCTTCCGTTTGCATCCAGGAAGAGTATATTCGAAGCAACAGTTGTGTCCGTGCATGCATGGGGGGCAGGAGCTTGGCCGTTACTGAGCGCTCAAGAATGGCGCACATGGGCAACCGCTCTATGGGATTTGTATCTCAAGATGGTCCCCCAGCTAGTACGGGATCAGCACTTGCATGTGTCGCGATGCGAATTACTTTTGGAAGGTAGTTTCTCAAGACCAGAAGATGTGTTGCATGTTGCTCGTGTGCGGCACATTGGTTCTATGATCCTCTCTGCTCCGCCACTGCTACATGCATTTGTTGTTCGTGACATTGCTGCGATGCAGGGATATCGCAATTCCATGCAGTGGTTTTGGAGTGGCCTGGGAAGAGACCAAGGCCTTCCTCGCATCCAAGACTGGAGCGGGTGGAAAGACTTCATCCTTGCTTCTCCTGTCAAATGGAAGTCCACCATCAAACGTGTGGCCCGCCGATACACGAGAGGGTTCCAACGACTGGCAGAGGCCGAGCTTTGGCATAGGCGCATTTTCCGCTGCCTTCAGGAGTTGAATTGTGTGGAGCAGGTTGGCGCTGCTAGCAGCACTGTCCATGTGTGTTTACCATGCCAGAAAGGCTTCAGCAGCATGCGAGCGTGGTTTTGTCATGCGTCGCAAAAACATGGATACATCTCCATGCAGGGTGAAGCTGCGAAAGGACAAATCTGCCCTTGCTGCAGTAAACAGTACCGCTCCGCCCTCAGTTTAAAACATCATCTCTCCTACAGCAGCTCCTGCCGTACCTTCATGTGGGAGCGTCGAGATGAGATGCAGCATGAAGCTGCCGGTGAACAACACCCTCAAATGCCTTGGAGGAACACGGAACAAATACCTGTCCCTCCTACTACCAATTTTGATAGAGACACTGTTCGGCTAACATCTGAGCTCGATTACATCCTGCATCATGATTTTGGCGACACAGAACAGGACCATTTTAGTAAGCGCTTGGCTGCAAAGTTGCAGGATGCTTGCACGACCGTAATGCCATTTGCATCCATCCATAAAGGCTTTACCACTTGGGCAAGTCAGATGGTTGATTCCAGAGATGCGCATCTTCTTGATGCCCTTCAGGAAGTTGGCACGTGGCTCCTGCAACAAAGCCATCAGTTTACTACCCGAGACAACCATACAGATTTCATTCCGGATGAAAGCGATCGTGCGTCGATTTCAGTTTGCCTTGCCAGTCTTCCACCGCCTTCTGGCGGACCTAGCGTCGCCTTGTTTCTGCATTTCTTTAGCGGGCACAGAAGGGTTGGTGATTTGCAATGGTGGTTGGAAAAGGTACACACTGATTTAGACAGCGCCATTGAGGTCGCATCCATCGACATTGTGATTTCTGCAGAGAAATGTGACCTTGCCTCTAGAAATCAACAGGCTAAGCTCTTAACCTGGATTCGTTCAGGACACATTGCTGGGATCCTGATCGGGCCACCATGTGAAACTTGGTCAGTTGCACGTGAGGAGCTTATCGGGACATCGGGACCCCGGCCAGTCAGGTCTCGAACTGCACCATGGGGGCTATGGGACCTCAAGCTGAATGAGCATTGTCAAGTGGCTATAGGTTCTTTGTTGCTCGGCTTTGCCTTCGAAGCAATGCTTGCCCAGGCGAGTAAGGGAGGCTTCGGGGCGATGGAGCATCCGCGCGATCCCACCGAATTCATGCAGCACAGGAACGAGGCACCTTCCATTTGGAATTTGCAGGTTACCAGATGGCTGCTGAGTACTGGTTTATTTCACCTGTTAAGGGTGGAACAGGGACATCACGGAGCCTCCAGTCGCAAACCGACAACACTGATGATTTGCGGAGTTTCCCCAGAAAGTGCTTCTTACCTGGAGAAGCAAGTCCGTTCCCAGGTAGCTCCACAGAATTCCAATATAGGTAGAAACGCTGACGGCACCGGTTGGAGGACCAGCCATTTGAAAGTGTATCCTTCCGGTTTTTGCCGCTTTTTGGCGCTCTTGTATCGCGAATGGTGGTATACAAGAGCCTCCCTGCCGCAGTTTGAAGTCGAAGAGGCCCGGCAATGGCTTAAGGACCTTGTACAGGCGTTGCCGACGGGTGAAACGACCTTTGGCCCCGATTTCAACACACGCAGCCACCGTTAATTCAGAATTTACGTGCGAGGCGCCGCACTTAGCTCGAGACCACGGCGCGAATCGAAATCGAAATCGAAATCGAAACCTCAAAGATGCAACGAGCAGGTCAAGTGGATGGGCTTTTTGCCCAAAGACTGAAGCCGTCGAAACCATTGCCGTTCAATGGAAGGGCCTGGCACTGCAGCCATGGACCTCGAGACAGGTGATCATCAGGCCATTTTCACATACCCCTGCAGTGCCTGCAGTGCCAGGATGCAGGATTCGCAGGATGAATCGCCCTGCGAAGCAGAGGCATACTTCAAAGTGGGCTGTCGCGAAGGAAGACCCGGCAGTGGACACTCACTTGAAAGGGCTGGAGTCTTTTGGGGGGCAGGAGTCGATGGCAGGGGGCATGCAGGGCATGCAGCGCATCATGCCCCAGCCTCTCTTTGACAAACAGATAAGATTTATCACACTCCATTTTCTCTTTGTTGTTTCGGTGGTCTGCGGTCCCGTCCGTCTCCTGGTCGACTCCGAACTCCTTGGGGGATTGTTGTCGTCGCTTTTTCCCACTGTCTCGGGGCCTGTCTTGTTGCCGCTGCCCATGATTTGGTCCTCGGCATCTAGAGTTAGTTATATCTATATATCCTTAAGATAGGACAGGATGCTTTTCAATTACCCATGGGAGTTTTGTCATACTCTTAGATTGTCCAGTATTTCATCGACTTGAACATTACCAAGATAAAGCAAAAAATAGGACCAGTATGGACCAGTATGATTTTGTGTATCCTTGTCACGAAATCATCCAGGCTTCTATGTGCTTTCTTCAACTGAACTCTAACCTATTTCACCTGCCTGCCTTCTTCAGCTGACCCCGGAGATCTTCAACGAACTCGACACCTATCAACACCCTGGCCCTACTTATCACACGGTCCTCGCTCTTCATCGTCGCTTCGGTGTGGCCTTTGTGCTCCCGCCATGGAGTCGTCAGAAGAGGAGCTGCAGGCGCCCGGGAGCTGACGGCTGGGAGAAGCCGGGACCAAGGACAAGCGGCACTTCTTTTGCTTTTGGCTTCTGGGCATCCCTGGTTGACCAACAAAAGAGGGGGAAGCTGAAAACACATCAAGGCCAGGGCTTTGAGGGTGTATAAGTATGTATGAGTTAAAGTAGATTTGGTAGGTTGGAAGACTCTTCAGAAAAGGCAAAGTCGTTCAATGTTCTTCAACGTTGGGGTTTGATGTGGCCCCTGGCCTGGAGAACTGAAGGCAGTCCAACCGTCGAACTCAAACACAAGATCCGGCCAGAACTCACGGTTCCGTCGCGAACTCACGGTGCCGTCGTGTATGTGTTTTTTGTCGGGAGACTCCCTGGCCCAATGGGTTTTACGGCGAACTACGCATCTTCTTGTTTTATTGTGACACGGTTATTCGCGATCCGAATGCCCAACGGGACATGCGTGAGGATCAGAGAACGACAAAACGACATCATGCATTATCCCCATTCAGATCCCTTCATGACCTTCAGAAAGATTTCCTGAGTTAAAATTATACTTTATACATATATATTATTAATGTCTTCGCTACTCACTACGGGGCCAGGACAGGGCAGCCTGCATTTTGGGGGACAGCTCCAGCTGGGATTTCTTGATCTCTCCGCTTCAGGCCCTTTTGAGCCGCTTGCGCTTGGAGAGGTTCGCAGAGGAGGTCAAGACCTTGGGCGTGGAGAGCAGAGCAGACTTGGCCTACGTGGAGGAGCGGGATTGAAATGGCTGGACCAATGGGGTTTATGTGTGATGATTCTTGTTCTGCTCTTCTTGGCATGACATCTTTAATTGAGCTCATATGAGCTCATAGAGCTTGCAAAAGTACATTTTATCCGATTAAAACATATTTTTTTACTTCTCAAGGGCTGGCAGTTGGAATGAGTGAGTGTTTACGTTCACTGCACGTATATGCTACTTTGGATGGTCAGCCGGGTCAGCAGAGGGCTCTCTGCCCACCTAAACTCTGCCCAAATGGCCGGAACGCGACCCATAAATTGACTCCAACGTGATGCCCGATGCAGACGTCGGCGCAGCAGACTCGCAGAAATGGCTTCCGAACAAACGCGTGGACTTCGTTTGTGCACGATTGAAGAATGTTTCTGAAGTTGATGCTTTGCTGAAAAGCTGCTAGTTGAGTCTGAGAAGCTGATATTTTCTGGTTGAAAATCATCAGGATGGTCCAACCGCTCTGACATGGAGTCGCGCAAGATTGCCAGCAGGATTTAGGAATAGCAAAAGGTTCGTGCAGGCGGCTGACTGACTCGAACATGGGTATGTCGCGACGTATGGGATGCGCCTCCAGTTTCAGAGCTAAAGGTTCCCCTTTCCATTAAATTCTGCGCCTCTAAGACATTCCTGCTACTTGTAGATATTCATTTTGTCACAGCATCAATGACCATTTAGCTAAAAAAGACAAGAGTGCACTTAGGGCCGTGCCTGCACCTGTGGCGACTTTTTGCCAAGTTTCAGGTTGAGAGACATTGTGTCGCTCCGCTTGTCCTGTTCAGGAGAGACACACCCACAGTTGCCATTTTGAGACTTTTTGAGATGACCAACATGTGGTTTTCTTTGGGTCCTGAACTTTCGAGGATGCAGATCTGGAGAAGCTGGGATTGCCTCTGGTGCCTCGAAGAAAGCTCTTAGAGGTGCGAGGAAGGAAAAACGAGCCAGGGTGCAGTCGACATGGTGCATCATTTTTTGTGTAAGCTCTTCCAGCTTCATATGCTTAGTGTTGCTCAGCAGCACATGCTGATTGCAAGTTGTAAGCAGGATGTGCTCTTTCCATCTCTTTCCATGCATATGGTTTGCTTTTCAAACTGTGCAACTCCAAAAACTTGCCACTTTTTTACAGTGTCTGCCAGGCAGCAGGCGGACAGTGGCGCAAGGTGGCGGCCTCAATGACCGTGGAACTTTGCAGTTTCATGCATCAATGGATGAAATCGGGATGAACACAACTTCTGCGACAGTCGTGCAGTGGGACGTTCATGGGTAGCCATGAAAGAGTCTGAAACACAGTCAAAAGGATGGCCGTCGTTCGTTCTTTCGAACGTCAGTTTTTGCAACCGAACAACGGATGCATCGGTCTTCCAACCGTTTTCCGAACAGGATGAAACAGGCGGGTTCCGGGCCTTTGGTCACCACTCAGGCCCCGGCACCGGCCGCGGCCACCGCGCCCTCGCTTCCTTCGTCGCCCGCGACCGCACCGGCGCTGCCACCGGCGCCAGCGGCAGAGCCGGAGGACGGGTGCGGGGTGGTCCCGGCGCAGTGTGAGTGGCGGTTGGAACCTTTCAAACCCAGATGCACAGAAACTGGACCCCCCAAAGACTGCAGGCAAGAAGATAAAGCATGATCAAACCTTTGAGATGTCTGGGTAGCAAGATGGTTTCTGGCCATATGGATTTATTTTGACCATCTCACCCGCCAAAAGGTCTAGAAGGAAGGAACTGGGAGACAGTTGCTTTTGGGAATTCTGTGTCTCTTTCAGAGCATTTTAGATCGCTCAGAAGCTCACGTGTCCTACTCTTCCTGTGTCCAATCGCTCCGTTCTCGCTAAAGCTCAGCAGAACCACCAGGATGTGAATGTGCCGACTCGAGATGAAGAGGCGATCGCCATGAATCGGAGACATGCAATCTCAGATGGGTCAAACGGTCAGGCTGCCACACACTTACAAGAGAAACATCAACACTAGGCCTTGGTTTGTTTTGGAGTCGTGAACATCCATTTATACCGATACTCACTGTACTGTACTAATACAAACTATTGGTGTTCATCATTGGCACAGAGTTTGACCTACATCCATATGGATGGCAAAATGATGGTTGTGGACCAAGAAGTGATTGGGACCGAGGGACTTCCTCTCCACTTCGACTTGGCTAGAGTGGATTGTTCATGTCCTTGGGGTTCTTTGGGAGATCCAGATAGTCTCGACGGATCAAATCTTGGAGAACTATTGCTGTCTTGGGGGTGAATATAATTGAATATATATATATAAATTCATTTTTTTTTGAATGTATGATATAAATAGATAGTCAGTTGTGGGTTTAGTCTGTAAAGCTCACCGTGCCGGTCCTGTGCCAGCTCCATGGATTCAACGAACTACATCGGTGGTCTTTCGTGGTGCTCGTTCAGGGTCCCCGAGTTGGTGCCTTCTTCCTTGGCCCCCGAAGGGATGGGCAGTTGACGGGGGGCAAAGGGCCCTTGGCCCTTCTCGTGACGCCGGACTCCGGCATGGTCACGCCCGACTCGTCGCCTTTGGTCAGGAACCGGAAGGAGCCGAGACGGGGTGGTCCCGGGTCTCTGAAGCACAGTCGCGGTGAAGAAACCATGGCCATGGCAGCCATGTTGAAACTTCCACAGAGCGGGCGTTTCAGTGAAGGTGTGAGGACTTGCACAGTGAATGATTGCCACCCTGTACATTTGTGCGCTTTTCTCTTGTAATCCGTTTTCGTTTTCATGCCTTGGGGCCGTTCTTGCGTTTCTTTTGCACCTGCATGTTCCGCCTCAGGTTTGTGAGCACTTTACAGGTCGCCAGGGCTGGAATCTGAAAGAGAAAGGCCACCTGAACGAGGCCGCCAGTTCCCCGTTCGCAGGAACACTTCCTCCTCTGAAACAAGGCCTGACCCCGTACCTTCACCGATTTCTCTCCAGCTGCGAAAAGAGATGACAATGGAATCCCCAGAAGTCTTGTGAGGCGGTTGACGAATCACTTCAGGGCCTTTTCTGGGATCAGCATGAAGATCATGAGACTCCAAAGAAAGCTCCTGCATCAGCTGTGCCTTTTAGCTAACATCCCCTCGTCCGTCAATATTCACAGTGGATAGGGTACCTGGACATTTTGATACACCAAAGAGTGTATTCATCATGTGTATTCATGTGTAACTGGTATCTCAGAAGTGTGAGAACACTCAAGGGCTTTTGTTCCAGGAGAGGAGCTGACCGGGCTTGCGAAGGAGGAGATGGAGCAGCTGCTCAGAGACCTCAGGCGAGAAATCCGGAGCAGACCAGAGCAGACCATGAATTGCTCTGCCGAGAAGAACCGATATTTTGTTCGGAGCAAAGAAGCAGGGGTTTGGGATTTGATAGATTCGCCCACTCTGGTTTGGGCTGAGCTCCCATGTTCGCATGTCGGGTGCCTTTCTGGGTATCGGGCACCTGCGGGCGCTGTGCCACAAGGGCAGCTCAGGAGCTGGCAATTCCAAGGTATGGGAGGCCTGGAGGGAAGCCACATCAGAGGACACATGCACAACAGTCTACAGGGCAGTTGTTCATAGTTTTTCATACTGACCAAGGAAAATACAATCCCTCAAACATATCATAAAAAAGATATATTTCATAGATATTTTTGACTCACTGATAGAGAATTAATTTCATTTGATGCATCATTTGGTTGTTAAAAGCTATAGAACTTGCTACCAAATAATGCACCAATTATAAGCATATATATATATATATTGTTGTGTAGAGCTTGGGCAGGCTGGGATTCACAAACATCATCATAACTCCCATGTAATGTTTTGGCTCAAGAGCCAAAAGTGGACAGGGGAGTTTCTGTCCCACCCATCCCACCCTGAGGAACGGCCTCCGGTGGAGTGTCCCTGATCCAGTGGTGGTCGCCTGGGGAGCAGGCTCTCCCCTCTGTGGGAGTTTTCGGATCTGGTTGCTGTCTCATCCTGGTGTCAAAGGATGGTGCAACCAGAGGGGAAGGTCCTGAGGTTTCAGGATATACCAACGCAATATCCCCAGGGCGGGGTTGTACCATAACACGGAAGTGAATGTGTGAGAGCGTGAAAGAAAAAGCGAGCTTGGAGTAGCACGCGCTGGGAGACTTATGATGTATATATACACAGGTTTTTTTGCGTATCACTACATGCCACTAAGAACACCTGCTTAGAACAGGTTTCTCCCATCTGCGAGGTCAGAACCTTCTGTCCCTCGAACGAACTGCGTCCAACAACTCGACACGTCTTCGTGAACTGCACTCTTCGTCTGTCGTCGGAAAGGAATATCCGCGAAGACTTCGCCACGGTGAGCCTTGGCGCGGACACGGGCTCAACGGGCATCGGAGCTGGTGGAGCACCGATCGTAGAGGTAGAAGAAAGTCATGAGTCGTCCTCTCCCAGAAACGCCGGCATCTTCTTTGACTTGAAGGCATGTACCCCTATGGCCCGATCGTGCGCTTGGCGGTCCTCTGTTTCAGCCAGGTGTGTCCAGGCAGGCGTCCCCTGAATTGAAATCAGTTGCAACTCTCCAAAGACTTGTTTCTTTATGTATGTGGCGGAAGATGTCCTGTTTCCATCAAAAAGCCTGGTCCCTTCCATTCTAGAATACATTGATGTCAGTCGAAAGGTGCCAAGGGTGCCGATTCTGGAACAAATCCAAGATCGCCTGCTCCCTGCCATTCCAGAGTAGAGATCTATGTCACCTCAAAGTCCCCATAAGATTTGCAAACGAAACCGGCTAGAATCTGACCTGGTGAAAGCTCGCGTTCCGTGTTCCCTTTTTGTGTTTTGGACGGTATCACTGTGTCTTATAAGAGGTTCCATTCGTCCTTTCAGCCTGTCTGACATGCGAAAAAGCACCGAATTCGAAGGATCCAAGACCTTCGGTGGAAATATGCCTGACTCCTACGACTCGTAAGGAATAAGGGAATGGATGCTGAGGATATCTACAGGGGTGGCTCATTCCCTCATCCCTAAGAGTCGCACGAGTCTGAATGCGGCTGAGGAACTGCTTGGACCTCTCGTCACGAAGCCGCTTGGGCAACCTCCCAGCGCGAGTGGCCCTGCGCACCATGGGACTGCTTGGCACTGGTAACAGCTTCTTCATGGAAGGTACCTTGATGCCGAGTCGGCGGAGTTTCATTCTTGGGAACAAGGGCCCTTTACATTTACACACTGCCACCAGCTTCGGAAGAAGAATAGCTGCCCAGCTCCGTAGCATCCATGCCAGCTTTCCTTTTCGGATGCTCCGGAAGAGGCTCATGTCATCCTTCACGCTTTGCACTCGTTGGGGATGGAGAGGGAAAAAAAGGGCCATGACACGACTCCGCACTGCTGACTCCACTGCTGACTCCGCTCACGGAGCGGGGTACGAGCGATCGACTCCAGGCATCAAGAAGCCGGCTGCAGCCTTACGCGCACGGAGTGAGAATGCCAAGATCAAGGGCATGGAGCCGTACCAGGATTGGGTGAAGTTTCTTGGAGACGAACATGGCCAGACATCCTTCAAGCATCGGGCAAATTTTATAGGTCCCATTGCTGATGAAGCAGATGAATCACAGACCTTCGACTGCGCAAGAAACTATGAGACTGACCCACATGATTCTTGCGAGTCATGTGATGTATTTCTTTTACCACATGTCCCACAGCTCCACACTGCAGTTCGGCTGGGTGGAACTCATTCACCATTCCCGCCAAGCCTAGGTTGTTGGAGGGCTTCGTGGCCGCCAACAAGCTGTCCGACCGCTGTTTGGTCGCAGTTGGGCCATTTTGGTTCACCCCGCTAGCTACAGTGGCAGGGCTCCAGCCCCCTGCATGCAGCGCTAGCTACAGCTGCAGCAAAGCTTCATGAAAGCCCCCAAAAAGCTACATACATGAAGCTACAATTTCTTCGGGGTACATTCGGTCAATTCAGGACCCGTGACACCCTGTTGTTTGCCGAAAGAGTCCCATTTACCCAAACTCACCGTTGCAGCTGCCCGAAACGCCTCACAACCGAAAGCTGGTGCAGAGGTGAGGATGGGCAGGCAGCAAACTTGACTCCAGGGTTTCTTTTCCTCTTTGAACAGAACATTCACAGCACGGATGCTTAGTCAATTGGACACCTGGCGCTTCTTTTTCAATGTATATTGGACATCAACTAGGCACATGAATTCATTGGTTGCAAGTCTGCCTGTATATTGGGCCGTAGCATGGCTTCCACCTCTCCATGGAGACTCTCTTGGAGAGTTTTCGCTTTCGACGGTGCTGTCGGGCTCACGGGGGCCGTGGGATTTCTGTCGAAGCTTTGATCATCCGCTGCAATCGAGAGCTGGTATCCTCTTCGAAGCTTGTTGGTCACTTGGCTGTTGGTATCCTGACTGTTTTGGGTTGGGCAATGGATTTGCTCCTCTCAGGTACCAAGGAAGCCTTGGAGAGACTCTCACGGCACCAGGCAGGAATCAGCGGGAGACACAAAGAGGCAGTGCTTCATGACACAGAACCCTTCAACTCCCAAGCAAGTCTAACTCCTACCTACCTCTCCTACAGCGATGAACTAGAAACCTGCGCCACCACTTCCACTCTGGCATATCCGGAGCTTCTAATAACTGAAGGCATCCCTTTGCAAGCACTCTTTCAAGAGAACTTGGTCCCAAACTCCACAGGCCCACGCCATGCCGCGATCCCCATATCTCATCCTCCCCATCCACCGCTCCGACCTGTCCCAGGTCGTCGTCGGCTTCGGTTCTTAGGCCCTGAAGGTCATGGGCTTCACCAGCGAACTTCGCTTCTTGGCCGGTCCCGTCTACCGTGGCGAAGCAGAGCTCGAGGTGCGCACGCGTCCCTTGGGCGCACGAGAGCGGCACTCGGAAAGGCGGGGCCGGATGAAGAAGACCTGCGTGAGCCCTTTTTGGGGAAGGTGGAGATAAACAAAACGATATTTTGGGAGAAAGAATGAAAGGGGTGAGTTTCAGGTCAGCTCAGATGCCTAAACGTAACCAACACCAGGCAATATGGCCAATCCGAGGGGCTTCCACCTTCGGCCAGCTGTGGAGTGACGTCATCCCATCATGAAACCACACTCAAGTGGTGGAAGGGCAAATTTGTTGGATGAGATGTAGGTGCGAACTGCGGCCTCCCACCTTTTCCACTCCGAAAGCAGCCATCAGCTACAGCTACAGAATACTCGATTGGATCTGTGTCTACCATTCAGAGTATCGTTTGGATGGAATGGGAGACCAGCGTGTAGCACTGCTCGCCTAAGGACTGTGGGCCGTGCAATCCGACGTCCCCATGGTGCCAGTGCTGCCCCGCGGGAAAGGCGAGGGCGGGCGGGGGGCGGGACTTGGGACTTGAGCTCATTTTCATTCATAATGTTCCGTGGCTTTGTGAGGGCAAAAGATGTGAAGAATCTGTGATGGCTTTCTGTTCCCTGACAACTGTCGACCCATCAGACCTGCACAAATTGATGAAATTTCACCTTCCAAGAGAGAAGGACTGACTGCACTCACTAAAGCTCTTTTCTAGCATATACTAAAACAGAAAGCAAAACACCGCCTACATCCAACAAGCGACAAGCGACAGTCTGACACACCAGTCTGACACCCCATCACCTGGGTCCAAATGGTGCAATGCTGATTCCATTTCTACTAGTAGCTTCCTTGCTCCTAGTAGCGATGCCCTTCCTTGGTTAATCACCAATTCATCCGGCCCAAAAGGAATCCAACTCCCGCGGTTCGCTGCGAAGAGCCGAAGCGGTTCCCGGTGGCTCCCGCGCTGAGCGGAGGTGATGAGGCGAAGAGCCGAAGCCCACGGCGTGCCACGAGGCAGGTCAACTCGAGCGGGGTGCATCACCTCGAGCTGTCGGAAGTTGGATTCGGGCTGTGACTGTTTGTTCTTTTTCTTTTGAATTTTAAGAGCCCGCCCTTACTGAATTCAGTAAGCGCCTACTCAATTAAGTAAGGACTAGAAGTAAGCGACTAGCTACTGGACGCTGAGGACGATGGCGAGTTTTATCGTCTTCTTTTGCCATCCAATTCTTGGAGGTTGGGATTAGTATAACCAGACCCTGATCGTCCCACCTGTTGGGGTTTCCGGCTATCCTTGTTTCCTTCCAGCTGAGTGGCTGATTGCGCGTTCATCAGGATTGCGGGTCTCCTCTAGGAACTCCGCCTTTCCATCCCAGGAACTGCAGGGTAGGTTTGGGTTGGAGTCTTTGATATTAACTTTTCTCCTCAGCTTTGACATGTGAAAGGGTGGATGAAACCTCCTTTTCATATCTCAAACACGCGGACGACGGATGCCACTCCAGTCATTCCAAGCAGAATGTGAGCCCAGGTTCGTTTTGGCTCTATTCGGCAACACTGCCTTTGTCAGCGGATAAAGCTGTCTTTTTAGCTATCTTTTTGGAGGATTTGGTTTCCCCAGCAAACACGAACCGGTGGAAAAAGGTGAACCTTTCTTTTCCATGAGAACTGAGGGAATCAGTAGGAGATCCATGGGCGATCGACCGGGCTAGGGTCATTGCTGCTCCCAGCTCGGTGCTGGATGAGTTTCCGCACTGGAAGAAGCATGTGGAGGCATTCATTGAGGCAAATGACACCTGGCAGAAGCTGTTTCATCGAAGCGGTTTCCGCAAAAAGCTGTGGTGTAGCTGGCTCTCGACTTTGGGCTCTTTGCACCAGCGGTTGAAGATGAAATGAACAGTTCGACTGTTTTGCATCCCGAGAGGCTGGACCCTTCCATTCGGGGCGATGTGTGTTATTGTTCGCAACAGTCTTCCAAAACGCGCAAGAATTCTTCAATGATGGCGGCACCTGTTCCTTTCTGTTCTATTATTCCATTGTTCTTTCTGTTCCTTTCTTTAGTCTTCCATGATTGTTCGTTTGGTGCACGCTGAGAACGTGGATGACCGCGCCGCAGAACTCTTGCGTGACGCTACACCGATGGCGGCACCTTGGTCTTGGCCAGACGGCAGAGGGACCATCCATGGTGGGACGGCTGATTCATGAGAAGAACCATAGGGTGTGCCATGGTGTGCCAATGGGTCAAACCCTACGCTTTATGTTTAAAGATGACGTATTCTTTTTGTTTCCCCTGGTTCGGGTCTTAGAGTCTTAGATGACTTAGATGGTCAAATGTCTTTTTGGCTGTCTTGAAACTCTCTGATTTGGAATCACACGCCGAGTATCACTTCTTTTTCAGACATTTGCGCCGGCTTGACACGGTGATGTGGTCTTTCACTTAACCGATGTTTTTCTTAACTTTTCTTGGCTTCGACAGAGATTCCAGGGTGGTTCCAGCATTCTCAGTCATCTCATATCACCTCATGCCTGTCATGCCTGTCCACTTCAGCTTCCGACCTGACCCCCCCCACCTCACAGGAGAAACGACGGACGACCGAAGCCTCAGGCGCTCCACACGATTGGCCTTCTGGGCGTGGACAACACCTTCCTGTTGCGAGGCGCGGAGAGTTTCGATCGGCCGCGGATGTTCCTTCCGCGGTGCCCTGGAATCTGAGCCGTTGCTTCGGGCGCGGACCGTTGGGTGTCCCAAAATGGACAGGGCCCTTAGCGCCATTCGAGGCCCGAAATGGCAGGGAGTGGGGCTATCTCCACCTGGAGAAAAAAAACGATGTTGAAACCCAGAAACTCACCCACCCGGAAAGCACTTTTCGATTCCATGAGGCACGGGGGCCGGGGTTTGGGCCCATCGGACGATGTTCGACGCATCGATACTTAGATTTGATTTTTTTGCCCTTCCGAGGTAAAAGAGAGCACTTTTCAACGTGACCTGAGTTGTGATCTTAAAAATCGATTGTGTTCTAGTTTTTTTTGGCCGATGGGGCTGATGTCGACACACGTCCACAGGAGTGATGACCAAAATTACTTCATACGCTTTCATCAGGGGATTGAGACTGATTTGCATCTGTAAATGTTTTTTAAGTAGTCAACCCCAGCATTTTAACATATGTTTTCCAAACCGTGTGTTTTCACACCATGGAGTTCTTGATCAAACCGTAGATGTCTTGGTTCTGAAGACTTCGTTCGGTTTTTCAGCCAAAATCACCACGACGAACCGGCACGAACCGCACGAAGCGAGGCGTCCGACAGCCGGGTGCTGTAGTGGCCAACCGCCTGAGGAAGGCGAGACCGTAGGTGACACATGGCGACACGGTTTGTGGACGGTCATGATGCAAGCTTTATGTTTGTCGCCATCCAATTCATTTTGACTCCAACTCAAATAACAAATCTTTTACTGTAGTCCCTCATTTTGGATCGTGATTTCTATGGCTTTTTAATTCTTTCGGCCTGCGAGTTCCAAAGAGAACTGGCCTGCAGGTTCAGGCCTCAGCTCCCAATTCAGGACCACCATCCGACCATCTTCAGGATTGTCTAACTCATTGTGGTCCACGGCTCTCTGTCATTTGTTTGCCCGGATCCAGTGGCCCAGATCCACATTGGGTGATCCGACTGCAGCGACCGACTGCAGCGACCGACGACCTGTTTCACGGCAGGTTCCACCAGGCGGTGGCGCGCGTGAAGCCTTTGCTCAACTGAACAAGCTGATGGAGGCATCCTGACTTGATCAGGGACTGGTCAGTCCTGAAATGGGTACCATGTAGCGCATCTCCCAGTTCCGAAAGGGTGCCCAGGACCTTTTTGTGCTCGGGACACTCATCCCAAGGAGAACACTTTTTGAGATTGCTGTTTGAGGTCCGGGGGAAGGTTAGATGACTGAGGGGTTTGGCATGAAGAACGTCTTCTACCTTGAGCACGCACGTTTAAGATAGTTCACAGGCTGGCCTCTTTTGGAATGCCCGCTTCATAGGGGAGAACCTTAGGTATCACCTCGAAATGGACCATGTGGTCATCTCAACATCGTGTGCTGGTGACCCCATCATCGGGTTTTCTGCTGCGTTTCCCCACAGTCGACCAAGCCGGAGGCAATTCCCAAACTCGTGGTTGAAGTGACCATGATTCATAGCTCCAAGAAAAACACCTAAAGGGATGCCGCTTGGCGCTCTTCTCGGTGGACACATACTCCCTGTGCACCTCTGGTCCCACACGTTTTCTCGGTTCATTCACATTGTCATCCGTCCATGCGGATTTCGAAAGGCGCCACCGCGGCCGTTGTGCTTCACCTTCTTCAGAACAAGCAAAATGCACCTTGCTGTTGATGTCCATCTTGCAGCGCTCGTCCATGCCAGCTCCTTCTTGCTCTCCTCCTCCTTCCCCATCGAAGCACCTCGTCGCGTCGCTGCCAGGACTTCATCACTGTGAACCGCCTCGGGGCTGAGGCCTGCGAACGCTTCCGAGGTGCGGTGAGAAACATGTGGAAAGATACGAAGGCGGAGGGAAAAGGTACAGAGCTTGGACGCCGCTTCTCAGGCGGCGAAAGCTAACAAGTTAGAAGGGGTAGAAGGCAATAAAGGTTGATCAGAGTGATGAATCAAAGGGAAGAAGGCGTCAAGATTTGCATTATCTGCAAAGCCTGTCCCAACAAAACCACAGGCGCCGGGGTTGTACTTTTGAAGGTTTTCGACAGGATGATTGTGAGTAGCACTAAGATGTTCCAGCTGCGAAGGAGCTGTTTTTTCACCAAAAGACCAAAAGCATTTGCGAAGAGCTCTTTCGTGTAAACTGTTGCTCTCCAAGCTATCCTACAATTTCGATACCACATCATATCACACTCATCATATCACAATCATATCAGATTCATCATATCAGATTCATCATATCAGATTCATCATATCA